CCACTACCCAGCGCCTCAATCTGTTCCTTAGTGTCGTTTTGGGTTCCAGAGTCCAAAATCCTGAAGACAGAGTTTGAAAAGTAACATAACGTCAAATGAATTGTTCGGGGTTTGGCTCAAATTCTAAGTGTGAGGTTTGAGCAAGAAACCCCCAGAGCCTGCAGTGACTTTCCGGAGGACTCCAAACCCTCGGTCTCTGCGCAGCTGGTCCTTGGGACTCTCGAAGGGCTTGGAGCAGGTTTGAGTCCTGGGAGATGCATGGGGACATCTGTGGAATCCTTACACCCTGTGCCGCTGGTGACCCAGGAGACTCCTGAAGCCTAGCTGGTCAGTTCTTTTCTTTTGGATTTTCTGGACGCTGGTAGAGGCGGATGATGCCTTCATCATGCAGCCGCTTCCAGACTGTTCTCTCTAACTTGAAGTCATGGTTTATGTAAAAGATCAGCCGTTTCCACAATTTATCATAGTAATGATCAGAAAAACGCTCGTGGCCCTGGGTGATGAAGCCATAGGCACTCACCTGCAGAAAGGTTGGGAGGGCTGGGACTGCACTGGCTGTCTCCTGGGGCCTCCCTCATTCCTCCATCCTGGCTCTGTCCCTAGGGGTCTGGATGCAGGTTCCTTGGGTGCTCATGCATGCTTATGCCCAGTCCCTGTTCCCATCAGAGGTGTGCAGCCACCCCTGGGCCATGCTCTGCAACCTTACCTTGTCACAGAGATGAAGGGCTGTAAGGAGCAGGAGGGCTCCGGTGGTGGGACGGTATATTCTCCAGTGGGCAGTGTCCAGGGTCTTTGACCTCAGAAACCTGTTCAGGACATCCAGACGCCCAGCTGTCAGGAGACAGCAAGGATGAGAGAGACCACATCTCCTCCCTAGGCTTTCTGCCCTCACCTGTTCTTCATGTAACGGATAAAGTCTGGATGTAGCAACAGGTATCTGTCCATGTCCAAGGCATCCCGGAAAGCGTCCTGGGGCCTGTGCCTGTAGTCAGGGATGGATCACTGTTCTCTTACCTGGCCTGTTGGAGGCCAAGTCAGGGTCATGGTGTGACCACTATCCCACCTCCAGGTGGCACAGAGGCAGTCCCCCCTTCTTCTAACGCTTTTGAAATCAGCCACTCACTTCTCAGTCTGGCCTGGACTTTGGGGACAGGAAAGGAAGTGGTACCTGAACCAGGAAAGTTTGGTTTTTGCCAGGGTCTGATTCAAAAACATCGCTTCTAGCCACTCATAGTCCCGGGTGCCTTCCAGGAAGTGTAGATACCGTACATCCTGAAGACCAAGGACAGCAAGTGGGTCAGGAGTACTGTCTTGAGGACCGGGGGCGGGGGTTGGCCCGACTCTGATTCCAGACTGTATACTGGCTCTCCCATGGCCCGGGTGGCTGTTCTTACTGCTCTTGCCCTCATAGGAATGGAGCTTGTGATGACCCAGACTCATATCTCTCCTCTGTGACTCCCTTGTCCTGAGGCTGTGTGCCCATGCCCATTCCTCTCTTCTCACCTTCCCCAGAGGCACATGCTGGAAACCTCGACGACCCAGTGTGAGGATTGACTGGACCAGGGAGAAGGCAGTGAAGCCGTAGAAGGATGTCCGGGTCCCCACATCCTGTTCATATCCTTTAATAACAGCTCCACTCAGCCTATCGAGAAAGATCAAACTAGATGGTCTGAATGCAGGAGAGAAATTTGTGGAGGTGGGTGAGCAGGGATAGAGCAGGGAAGGTGGGAGTTGTCGACACACTCCATTTTCTAGTAAAGACATTGGGGACACTTGTCAGGTCCCCATAATAGTCCCTATCTGCAGACAAGGGGCTGGAGATGGAGAACATACCGGAAAACGTAGTCATGGCTGTCTATCTCCTGGCCCACGTGTGAATCATTCAGGATGCCCCCATTGCCCACCACAGCACAGGTGATGCAGCTGGAGTTCCCTGAGGGGAGGTTGGCCAGGAGCAGCTGCTGCTGGGGTACCGGAGGGAAGCGGGTCACCACCTTCTCTACCACTGGAACAGAGCAGGGCTCCATTCAGAGTCCCGAAAGGAGGCAGACCCCAGACAGGAGGCCGGCTACCCTCTGCCCTGAAGTAAGGACTCACAGGACTGATTGAGCTCCATGAAGCCAAAAGGGGGTGCAAAGTGCTCTAGACGGTCCCACTCGCTCTGAGTGAAGTGTCCAGAGTCCAGGAAGAGAGTGAGGTTGGGCAGAAAGATATTCTGTAGCCACGGTGACTTGGAGGCCCTGATCTTCAAAGAGTCGGGGCAGGTCTATGTGAGGGAGGCCATGTCAGGCAAGGGAGTGGTCCAGGAAAGCCATTAGCCAGGGGCTGGGCTGGGTGTTGCAGTTTGAAAGCTCCTGCCCCTGCTCCCTCTTTCACTCTGGACCCCATGTCTGGCTGCTTAACTCTCCATGTCTGGGCCCACCTTAGTCCCAGAAAACAGGTCCCCTCAGCTCCTAGGCAGTTAGTTACACCTTTGCAAGTCTGAAGGCCACACGTGGTACGTCCACGGTACCATTGGGACCATGATCCTGTTCTGTGTATATACACCAACAGGTGTTCAATATTAGCCTCCTGGGCAGAGGTGGGAAAGATCAGGGAGGTGGCATGGGGTTGAACATGTGCAGTTTTTCCTGAGCCTGGAAGAGAGCGAAGGTCCTAGACTAGGCTTTCCAGGGATGGCAGTGATCCTGGGAGGGCAGCAGCTGGGCATGAGGCTATGGTCTTGTCCATCAGTCCCACAACCATAGAATGAGGATTTATGCCCCACACCCCAGAACTGGCCACACTCTGTCCCCACAGATTGCTGATCTGCCCCAGGCCTTCTTCAAGGGCTTCAAGGCAAACCCCTCCCCACCCACACCTTCCTGAGTTGCCCAGACCTTGATTCTGGACCTGCCTTCTCCTCCCTGATCTTGGCTGTCATAGGAAGGAAGGATGGCCCAACAGCAGCACTGGGCCGAGCACAGGGGGGGTCAAGGTCAAGACTGAAAGCTGAGCCTGGAGGAAGGGACTGCTCGGGGTGGAGGGTGGAAGTTGAGGAAGTGAGAGGCCCCAACTCACCGTCTGCAGGCCCCCCACATCCAAGCTGTATTCTTCCTCAAAATCCCACTGAGGCTCAGACTTGAAGTTGGAGGCCTTCAGCCTTTGGCCTCTTTGTGTGGTGGGGTGGGGGGAAGAGGCAGGGGATGGGTTGGCCTGGCCCTCCTTGTCCTTGGCTGGAACAGCTCCTGTGGCCATCAGTTTCTTTTTCAGCCTTGTAAACAGTGCTCCTGTGGCTGTCAATATTTTACCCTGACTTTCTGGAACAAGTGTCTTTGCTGCAGGCTCTGTCATGCTCTGATGTTTCCCCAATGCTGTCCATGTGGTCATCTCCTTCCTCTTCTCTTCCCCGTCTCCTCTGGCTGCCTCACTGTCCTGATTCTGCAGGCCCAGCTCCTCTGTCCTGACAGAGGTCGTCTCCTTGTCTCGAACTCTCAGTGGCAGCTCCATGATGGGTCTGTGGGGTATGGCCTTTTGTAGCATCTCCTGAGGATTTTCTTTGTTCTTCTCTATAAACTGATACCTGAACACAGATAACTCTTGTTGAAGGTTGGATGTTATACAAACAGGCCGGAAACATCACCGGCAGGAAAGGAGACAGCTCAGGGGGCAGGAGTGCTTACTGTGTGAGCATGAGCACCTGAGTTTGCATCCTCAGCACCCACGTTAAAAAAAAAAATCCGCTGGGCGGTGGCGGCGCACGCCTTTAATCCCAGCACTCGGGAGGCAGTAGCAGGCAGATCTCTGTGAGTTCGAGGCCAGCCTGGTCTACAGAGCGAGCTCCAGGACAGGCGCAAAGCTACACAGAGAAACCCTGTCTCAAAAAACCAAAAAGAAAAGAAAAAGAAATCCAGCATCAATCCAGGCATGCATGTACCTGCAGCCCCAGCACTGTCCTTCTTTATTACTCTCTATTTCCTGAGGCAGAGTTTCTCACTGAACCTGATGCTCACTAACTCAGCTAAATTGGGTGGCTGACCAAACCCCAAGAATCCTCTAGGATTACAGGCTGGTGCCTGTGGGTGCTGAGATCTGAACTCAGATCCTCATGCTTGTTTGGTAACCGCTCCCTGTTACCATCTCCCCAGTCCCTGTTTTTCTGCTTTTATGTTAGTCTGTTGAAAGCCATCTGTGATGGTTTGAGTGAGAATGGTCCCCGTATGCTCTTATGTTTGAATGCTGGGTTCCCAGTTAGTGGAACTGTTTGGGAAGGATTAGGAGGTGTGGCCTTGTTGGAGCAGGTGTGTCACTGGGGGTGGGATTGGAAGTTTCAAGAGTCTGAGCCAGGCCTAGTGACTCTCTCTCTGTCTGCAGAGCGCTCTCATTACCACACCTGCCTACCTGCCTGCTGCCATGCTGTCTGCCATGATGATGATGGACTAAGCCTCTGAAGCTGTAAGCAAGCCCCAATTAAATGTTTTCTTTTATCAGTTGCTTTGGTCTCTTCACAGCAATAGAGCAGTAACTAAGATAGCCTCCTTCCATTATGCAGCTGGTATCAGGTGCCCTGGGAGTCCCAACCTGTTTTCTGTTTCCCTGACTAAACTATGCGAGAGACTTACTGAGGCTGTGTGAAAGAAAAAAGAAAGAGCATGAAATGGAAGACCCACAGATCTGAAAGTCTGAGCACCTCCCCTCCCCTGCTCATGTGATTGGAGGGAGGATTCTTAGTCTTCTGACTCCTGGCCCCTCTCATCTGTATGGTGGACTACTGCTCTTGCCATCTGAGGAAAGCCTCCTGGCATTATCCACCAACAATGTGCAGGGCATCGAGTACAAACTGCAAATGCGGGGGCTGGCACGAGGCCCAGCAGGGGAAGTCACTGACTGTCAAGACTGAGGATCTGACTTGGATCTCCAGGACTCACATGGTGGAAGGAGAGAACCAACCCCCAAGCTGTCTTCTGACCTCCACACACCTACCATTACATGTGTGCCCCTCCTCCCAAAATAAAGAAGTAAAATTGCCAAGGGTGATGGCGCACACCTTTAATCCCAACACTTGGGAGGCAGAGGCAGGTAGATCCCTGTGAGTTGCAGGCTAGCCTGGTCTATACAGTGAGTTCCAGGATATATAAGGCTATGTAGAAAAGTCCTGTCTCTAAATAAATAAATAAAAGCCAGATAGCTAGTTCAGCAGTTAAGCGCGTGTGCTGCTCTCACAGAGAGCCTGCACTCAGTCCTTCCAGCGCTCACATGGGAGCCTACAGCCACCTGTAACAGTTCCAGGTATCCGACACCTTCTTCTGGCTTCCACAGGCACCAGGCACGCACATGGTACATCTAGATACATGCAGGCAAAACAGTCATACACATAGAAAATTTTAAATAGCCAGGCGGTGGTGGCACATGCCTTTAATCCCAGCACCCGGGAGGCAGAGGCATGTGGATCTCTGTGAGTTTGAGGCCAGCCTGGGCTACAGAGTGAGTTCCAAGACAGCCAGGGATACACAGAGAAACTATCTATATATATGTAAAAAATAAAATAAATGTAATAAATTAAAATGTAGATTTCACAAGTATTAGTTCCTTCCCTCTCACACGCCTGCTGTTTTATTTGAGACAGGTAGTCAAGCAACCCAGGCTGGCTTCTAGCTCACTATGTAGCAGAGAATTCCCTCAATTCCTCACTCTCCCGCCTCCATCTCTCAAGTGCTGGGATTATAGGCCACACCACTAGGTCCAGCAGGGAAATGGACTTGAACAAAAGCATTTGAATTATGTACAGAAGAGCACTCAATTTGAAAGCATCGATAATTCACTCAAAGTCACCGGTCATGCACTGGTGTCCCGCCAAGGGAAGAAATCAAAACACGGGTTGATGTCATTTAACCAAGACTTGAGTTCTCTATTTCACTGTCCCTGTGTCCATCTGTGCCTGCTTGAAGGCTGTCTTGTGAATCTGTCCCTGGTTCTGAGTCTGTCAGTGAGTGACTGCATGTGTCTGTCCCTGACAAAGGGCTCTGCTCTGTCTATTGAACGGCACAGAAAGCGTCACACAGGAAAGGAATGGGACACTCTATAGGAATCTTCGTCAGAGTTTTACAAGAGATTAAGTCATTGGCTCCAACAGACCCAGCTTCCAGTATCACAGATATCATTGTTTATCAAACGATATCCAAATGTTCTGTCCAACATTTTATAAGATTGCTTCCAACGTCTATTTTTATTGCTTTCAGGAAATGATATGCATGCATTGTTCTCTGGGTCAGGGACACCAAGGAGTACAGAATTTAGGGGTGTAGCTATGCAGTAGCTCCGGTTGTAAAAGTTGGTTATATGGGAAATTCAAGGCAAGGAAGCTTGTTACGCTGTTAATACTTGTTATGTTGTTATATAAAAGGCAGGTTAAACAGGCTGATTACACAGTAGAATAGACAGTCTTAAGTCTTATGTGATCTCAAGGTGTACGATTAACTCTGGCTCCGGGAAAAGTTCCAGTCTCTTAGATCTAAGAGGCGTTTCCATAGTATTGCCACAGAGGACATAAGAACAAAGATGTCACTCAATCGCGGTTTGTTAAATGTCTCTTCTGGGCAGGGTACCTGATGCACATACATATATAGACTGCAGATTTGAGCAAGGTCAGAGGTCGGGACGGGACAGTCGGAGATCATTGCTGTTAGAGGCAGAAGGCAAGGTGGATCCTCCTGCTCTGAAGAAATGCAGCCTGTGAAGTGGGCGACCACCTCTGCTAACCTATCCTCCCAGCCTGCCTTCCTCGGCGAGGGCCGACTTTTGGTTACATTGTATCTCCTGTCTTCCTTGGAGAAAACATACACACACACACACACACACACACACACACACACACACACACACACACACACTGGTCTTATATAGAAAATGCATTTGTGTATGTGTGTGTGTGTGGTTTTTAAGTTTGGTTTTGTTGTTGTTTTTTTTCTATTTTTGAGACAGGGTTTCTTTGTGTAGTGTAGCCTTGGCCATCCTGGAATTCTCTCTGTAGACCAGTCTGGCTTCTACCTCATAGATCCGCCTGCCTCTGCCTCCTGAGTGCTGGAATTAAAGGCGTGCAACATCACCACCAGGCTATTTTTATTTTTAAATGATGTTATGTCTATGTGTGGGTATGTGCATGAGAATTCAGGCACCCACAGAGCTCGATGTGAGTGGTAGAAATCAAACCCAGATCCTTTGCAAGATCAGTACTCATGCTTAACTGATGAGTCTCTCTAGCATGCATATTTATACAGATACAGACATGTGTATTTATACATATATAAATATATATGTATGTATGTATATATATATGTACATTAAAAAATTAAGACAGTTTTCATGCATCCCAGACTGGCCTCAAAATCACTGTGTAGCCAAGGATGACTTTGAACTTCTGATCGACCTGTCTCCACCTCTCAAATGCTGGAGTCACTGGCTTGCACTACACTGCCCAGTTTGAGCAGTGCTAGGGGTCAAACTCATGGCTTCAGGCATGCTAGGCAAGCACCCTACCAACTGAGCTACATCCCCAACCAAAGTGGGTGGGTGTTCCATACTGAACAGCTCACAGCACACAGCATGGACGGCTGTGTGGAGAGATAAAGAACCCCTCTTTGGAATCTGTCTAGAGGCAAGAGTGGTTCTGAGAGATGTTCTGTCTGTAGATACTCTGGTTACTTGGTGACGTGTTTAAATTTTATAGGAAGCCACGGCAAAGAGGGACAAAGTTACGTAATCTAGTTTCACTTATTTCTCTATAATTAAATATACCTATAATGAGTAGGTGTATCTGTGTGAGTATATATATAGGTGTTCCCTTATTCTCCCGCACAGAGTTCAGTGAAGGTTTGAGAAGTCTTTAGATGCTGGTTGCTCTGTATGCTCAGACTCTAAGGGGCCTGACCTTGTACATGGGCCGGGTGGGCTTGAGGAGAGCATTTTTCTATAAAGCCTCTAATTCAGAGAGACAGAGCAAAGTGCTTGTAGACAATCCCCAGGCAAAAAGCAATTTAATTACATAATTCTGATCTATATGAGAGATAAAGATACAAGACATTGCACTCCAAAATACATGAATTAGGAGCAGGGGAGATGGCCCGGTCGGTAACATGCTTGCTGCTTAAGCATGAAGACCTGGGTTCAATCCCCAGCACCTCCACAGAGCTTGTTGTCTTGAGGGGCAGAGACTAGAGGGTTCCTGGTCGTACCAGTGCTCTCATTGCTTAACCAACTGAGCCATCATGTGACAAAAATAATCACAAAGGGCTCGGCATAGCCACACAGGCACTCAGGAGGCAGAGGCAGGCAGATCTGAGTCTGAGGGTAGCCTGGTCTACACAGCAAGTTCCAGGACAGTCAGGGCTACATAGTGAGACTTTGTCTCAAACAAACAGAATCCCCACAGATACAAACACATCTTCATAGCGCAAACAAAAATCAGTATCTTCTAAATGAACTCTTGAAGTGAACAGAAGTATGGAGGCATTTGCAGGAGACTTAGAAGATGTTTTGCGCCGGGCGGTGGTGGCGCACGCCTTTAATCCCAGCACTCGGGAGGCAGAGCCAGGCGGATCTCTGTGAGTTCGAGGCTAGCCTGGACTACCAAGTGAGTCCCAGGAAAGGCGCAAAGCTACACAGAGAAACCCTGTCTCGAAAAACCAAAAAAAAAAAAAGAAGAAGAAGATGTTTTGCATTTTTGGGAGGAGTGTTAAATCAACCTTCCCCCAAGTCACAATCTAATGACCACAAAGGAAAGATGGACAAATCTTATCCAGGTAAAATGGGTTCCTAAACCAACATGGTGGATCACACCTGCAGTCTCAGCACTTGGGAGGTAGAGGCAGGAGGATCGGAAGTTCAAAGTCATCCCCAGCTACATAACCTGCAGGCGTCAAACTCAGGTTACAGGATGGAAATGCCTGGGTTTGAGCCCAGCTCTGTGACTGGCAGAGCGGTGTAATGCTGACTCACCTTAACTGTCTGTCTTCCTCATAATGAGGAGTGAGAAACCGGAGCGTTTAGAGCAGGGCCTGGTACAGATCTACACTGCAGAAGGGCCAGCTTCGATAATGTGAGCGCTGGGCACACCCGAGTATTAGGGAGTAACAGAGTCAGGGAGACCCTCACTTCCTGATTCACTTCTCTGTACTTTTCTTCCTTCCTTCCTTCCTTCCTTCCTTCCTTCCTTCCTTCCTTCCTCTCTCTCCCCGTCTCTGTGAGAGAATGAATGTATGGTTTTAAAATGTTGAGCTGTAAAAACCAAAAAAGCTTTTTCATCGAGTCTGGGAAGAGGGTCTCACTGTGGAAGATGTACTAAATGTTCTAGAAGTTCCTGTGGAGGATTCATTTGGGGATGATTTGACATTTCCCCCTACCCCCACCAATGGGAGATCTTAAATTCTACTGACTCACTTTTCAGGGTGAGAATGCCTCTGAGACACAGGAAATACACAGGCTAAGTCTTTGCTTCGGGTCAAGGAGAGTGGCATGTAAGAGCAAGCCCTTCTTCAGCTGCCCTATTACTCACCAGCCCTTGGGGGCAACTTGCCTTGTGTCTTGTCTGCCCTCTGGAGACTCAGTCCATGAGTCCTCAACTCCTGCACAAGCCTCCTGGAATTCCGGGCACCTGGGTCACCACCACCTCCTCCATCTGCATCTCTTCTGAGTTCTGACACTGGCCTTCCTTCCAGGGGTACTTGATAAGACTCCTGACCTTAACACCCCATGTGGACCCCCAGGTGGCTCAGAGTTCCCCAGGCCTCCCCACTGGGTAGTCTTTCTGGGAATCACAGGATTGGCTCCTTCTTACCTGGAAGGCTTTGTGCGAGGCTCCTTCATGAAGGAGGGCAGGATGAAGGACAGAGCCAACACAGCCAAAAGCAGGACGCCTGAACTCCAGGGAGGCAGTCTCCAAAAACAGGTCTTCATGGTGGTTGACTGGTTGCTAGAAGCATGTGTGATGAGAACAAGTCCCTTGAGGCTATGTACAGGTCACACAGCCTCCTCGTTCAGGTTGTCGGACAGGGACTGCTGGCCTTCGGCCTTATATCTAGCCACTTGGGGGAGCAGGGGAGGGAAAGGAGGGGTGGAGTACTGCTTTAAGTTGGCATGGATCGAAGGAAGAGAAACTCCTTCTGTTCAAACAAGTTCTTTTTTTCTTTTTAGTCTCTGAAGCCAAATTCTGGAGAATTATATGAGACCACATATCTATCATAAACAGCCTTCCATTTATCTGGTCACATCCTCTGCCAGCCTCATCCATAAATGAGAGAAGCAGTGGTCTCCACCACACTCAGGTGCTCATCCACACTCGGGTGCTCACGGTAGGGACCCCACACACAATCACCATTGCGGGCCAACTTTCTGAGCTTCTCTGAAATTGTGACTGGAGATGCACGAGCAAATAGCATGTCTGAGACTTGCTCGCATCCAGGGACCGTGGAAGGCTTCACAGAAAAGGTGCTCGCAGTGGGTCTGGGGAGAAGGCTTGATGGTTCACAGCACAGGCTGCTCTTGCAGAGGATCCAGGTTCAGTTCCCAGAACCCACACGGCAGTTCACAACCATCTGTAACTCCAGCTCCAGGGGATCTGCTGCCTCCTTCTGACCTCCATGGGCTCCTGCACACTTCTGCACAGACATACTCTCAGGTGCAGATTTCCAGAAAACATAGAAGTATTGTGGATTCTTACTTCTAGGATGCTGGACTGTACAAGCACTCAGGATGCCAAAGTTACATGGAAGGTGGGGTTCTGAAGGTCTCAGGGCCTGGGTTCATTGCTCACATTGTCTCACTGCTCCGGTTTCTGCCCAAAAGCCCTTGGCCCTCATCCACATCACGCACCAGCGAGTGCCTCACCCACCCTCTGAGGGACAAGAGAGGAGCTAACTAGCAGGCTCCTAAGAAGCCGGGGCTTGTAAGACAGCTAGTGGGTTTAAATCCCACAGTGCACGCTGCAGCTCCTGGTACCAGAACAGGGGGAGCCCTCCCTTTCAGGGAAGTCTCCTTCTGTCTGGTCTCACTGCCTTTTTCTCTGTCTTTCTGTCTGTCTGTCTGTTGTCTGTGTGAGTCTATAAGCACTTTCTGAATAGGCTCGTGTCAAGTCCTTGCTCTTGGAGCTGAGGTGAGGGCCCAGTTGGTCAAGTGTTGTTTTGCAAGGGTGAAAATCTAATTAATTCAATCCTCAAAAGCCACATGAAAGGGAAAAAAAAAAGTGTGTGGTGGGAGCCAGGTGCTGGGTGCTCAACCCTGGTGGCCTGACTTTGATCTGAAGAATTCACGGAAAGGTGGAACAAGACCCAACTCGGTAAAGCTGTCCTCTGACATGAGTGCCCCACCTCCAATAATAATCATAGAGTAAAATCAAAATAAAGCAGGGTGTGATGGTATGTGCTTACAATTCCAGGAATGGGGAGTCAGAGACAGGCAGATCTCTGGGTTCACAGGCCAGTGTGGGCTTCTCGGTGGCGTGACACCAAAATAATGGGAGACCAGAACAGGAAAAATAGACCTTGCAAGTTAAGGGTTCTGTTTGCAGTGAAGAATACGTTCCTGTTTGTCCTGTGTTAAGCTCTTGCAAGGTAAGGTTTCTATTTGTAATTAAGAAGTTCCCGTTTGTCCTCTGTTAAATCCTAAACAAACAAACAAAAAGCTAGTTCTTGTTTGTCCTGTGTTAAGCTCTTGCAAGGCAAGGTTTCTATTTGTAATTAAGAATAAGTTTGCCGGGCAGTGGTGGCACATGCCTTTCTAGATCTCTGTGTGTTCGAGGCCAGCCTGGTTTACAGAGTGAGTTCTAGGACAGGCTCCAAAGCTACCCAGAGGAAACCCTGTCTCAGAACGCCCCCCCCCCCCCCCCCCCACACACACACAAAAGAATAAGTTCCTGTTTCTTAGATCTAATGTAAACTTGTTGCAACCCCATCCACATGATGTACATCCTTACCCTTGTTCCTCCCCTCTTTCTAACAATGTGTAACAGCCATCTCTCCCGCCCCTGTCAACAGCTTCTCTCTCCTCTAGGAGGAACTTCAAGAAGACACCAGGGGCTGCTCTCTCAAATCCTGACTTAGCCGACTGGCCAGTCCCAGGTGCACCCCAAAATACGGCTTGTTTTAATTTGACAACCGTGATTTGTTCTTGTGGATTTGGTCTTTCCTCCTTGCAATTCTCAGGTTTAGCAGTGGGTACCCAGACAGGGAGAGACCCTGTCTCAAGAAAAGGTGATGGTTCACGGGGAACGACAACCACGGTTGTCTTTGGCCTCCACCTACATATGCTCACATTTGCTGCACACACACAGGAGCATGCAGACACACACGGGAACAAGAAGCCCTTCAAATGCTGGCACCGGGAATCTCATCCTCCTGGCCCGACTGTTTGTCACGGTAGGCAAACGCAGTGCACAGTGGGTAGGCACTCTCTTAACTCCAGCATTGGTCTGACTAAGCAGTCTCTCTCCTCTCCTCTTGTCAGGTCCAAAAGAAGATCAGACCAGAGACTATCTGTGGTTCCTATTAGCATACCAAAGTATGCTGGCCTCCAGGTTCTCTTAGCATCACAAATGCTGCCACAGAGTCCATGCTGGCATCCTGGCTCTTCTCAGCCCATAGCCCCCTACCCTAACCTCCAGTTTTATGGGCTTCCCTTCCCTCAGCTTCTCATGTAACCATGCAATTTTGGAAATGAGCACTCTTTTGTCTTCCTCTCTTGGCCGGCTCTCTGTCTCTCTGTCTCTCTGTCTCTCTGTCTCTCTCTCTGTCTCTCTCTCTCTCTCTCTCTCTCTCTCTCTCTCTCTCTCTCTCTCTCTCTCGGGTTTCTTTTGCCCTCACTCCCTGTCTTCCCTTCTCACTCTCCCCTCTCTCCTCTCACAGCTAAGTCCAGGCCACGTTCCAGTTCCATCTACCTCTTTCTCTCCCGGCTCTGGACTCCTACAGATGCATCTGGCTGTTCTCCTCCTCATATCCACAACACAAACCTTCCCCTCAGCCATACCTAGGAACGGTCATGTTTATCTGTCACCCGACTCTCTGAGAAGGGCCCTGCTGGCAGTGTCCTCTGCCTGGTATGGAGACCCAGCTGAGTGCCTGGTGTCACGGACCTACTATGTACAGTTCAGGCTGTGCCTCACACTGTTTCGAAGTGGGTTAAACTGGAGATCTGGAAGCCAGCGGCCTAGGGTTCAGTTATCCCTAGGCCTTTTCCTGGTTCTTAAATTCTAGCCCAAGGCTGCTCTAGCATGTGCCTGGGCAGAATGGGAGAGGCAGAGGAACACTTACTTTAGGGAAATCCGATTTAAAAATATCATCATAGTCCTGTGTTTGGTCTTAGCTACTTTTCTTTCCTTTTAAAACTAAGATGTTTCTCTTTTTAGCCTTTTTTATACATGGGATGAGTGAGAGCTTACTCATAGAGTAAGAGGCACAACAGGGTAATATGCAGTAAGGGATGAAAGTGTGTCAGTCTTGGGGCTGAATTGATGACGCAGCAGTTAAGAGCACTTGTTTTTCTTACAGAGAGAAAAACCAGTTCCACAATTTGGAGCCAAATTTGAAGCAAGCTTTAATTAAATACTGACCAGAATTAACTCTGGTCAGGTCCACTCCCTGGAATCCTAGTCAGTGGTGATAAGTTACGTGTTATAGGGACTCTTTAAGGACAAACTATACACACCACCATATTTCCCATGGGGCTTTGTTATTTTCCAAGAACTACAACTCCCAGCATTCCAGGAAGTTACCTGGACCTTGGGCAGGTGGGGCTTACAGGTTGATTTGGTTCTTACAGAGGACCCGTGTTTAGATTCCAGCAGCCGTATAGTGGCTCACAGAGTCTATAACTCCACTTGCAAGGGATTCAGGGATTGTATCCCTCTTCTGGCCACTGAGAGTATCAGGCACACATGTAGTGTACATACATGCAGGCAAAACACTCATACACATAAAATATTTAAAAAAGTGTGCCACCCTGGGTGTGGTGTCGCATACTTTTAATCCCAGCACTCAGGTGGTAGAAGCAGGCTGATTGTTAGCATTTAGACATTACCTGCCCAGCCCCTTGGGGACCTAGCTAGTAAGCAGGTAGTATCTTGTCCCCCTCAGCGTCTTGACAACGTCATCCCATACACACATAGCCCATTTGCGTAGCTCATTTGCGCATGCGCCAACCCCCCTTTAAGAGTTGGGTTCTAATACTCAACTTCATATGGAAAAACAAAAGACAGGACAGCTAAAAGAATCCTGTATAATAAAGCAACCTCTGGAGGCATCACCATCCCTGATCTCAAGCTCTACTATAGAGCTACAGTAATAAAAACAGCTTGGTACTGGCATAAAAACTGACATACAGACCAATGGAATTGAATTGAAGACCCTGACATTAATCCACACACATAAGAACACCTGATTTTTGACAAAGAAGCCAAAACTATACAATGGAAAAAAAGAAAGTATCTTCAACAAATGGTGCTGGCATAACTGGATATCAATATGTAAAAGATTACAAATAGATCCATATCTGTCACCATGCACAAAACTCAAATCCAAGTGGATCAAAGACTTCAACATAAATCCAGTTTCACTGAACTTGATAGAAGAGGAAGTAGGAAGTAGTCTTGAATGCACAGGCACCGGAGATCACTTCCTAAATATAACATCAGTAGTACAGATACTGAGAGCAACAATTAATAAAAAGGACCTCTTGAAATTGACAAGCTTTTGTAGGGCAAAAGACACAGTCAATAAGACAAAAAGACAGCCTACAGAATGGGAAAAGATCTTCACCAACCCCACATCTGACAGAGAACTGATCTCCAAAGTATATAAAGAATTCAAGAAACTAGATATCAAAATAATGAACAATCCAATTAAAAAATGGGCTAAAAATAGAGCTAGACAGAGAATTCTCAAAAGAAGAATCTCAAATGGCTGAAAGACATTTAAGGAAATGCTCAACGCCCTTAATCATCAGAGAAATGCAAATCAAAACGACTCTGAGATACCA